TACTAGCCAGTTAGTCTCTATTTGTGAAAAGACAGAGCTAGCTAGCTAGCTAGCTAGCTAGCTCAAGACATAAGAAACTTGCTAGCCAGCTAGCTAGCTAGCTACTTTTTCGCTAGCACTAGTGATATTGGCTATCTTCTATAGGAAACATCAGGTATTGAATTTACAAGTGTTATTTTGACAACATTTGCGTAATTCATCTTATAAAACGACTTACTTGTTGATATAAAACTGGTTGCTGGGTTATTAGGCAATTCAGTTTTGTTTTGAAACACCATGTTAACTAGTGTTAGTTATTGGAGTTACAAAAAGTTGAATATTGTAAAAGGTATAATAGTTATCAGAATACTTTTTTACAAGGTTTGTAAATTGGAATGTTCTGCACATTTTAAAGTTGAAGTGTGTATCTTACTTAATAGGTGTACAAATAGTGTATGAAAAAGTGTGCGAACAACAGTGTTCCAATAATAGCACATTTTGATCACCATAAGAGTAGACCATGTTAAAATTAGCATTTTTAGCATTTAAAGTATGATGAGTAGAAAAAAATCTGAATGTAAGCAACTGAAGTTAGACCTCTGCACGTTTATATAGTTAAAATGGTACTGTATGTTTCGCATAAAAGCTGTAGGAGGAGTAGCGGTGGGAATAATAATAATAATAACTAGAAAAGGATGTTTCATTAATAACTTTGTGCTTGCTCAGCTGGCTGAAAGTATTATTATTAATGGTAGTGGAATAAGTTTACATAGTGAGATAGTTAGGCCTATATCTTTGAAATATCTTCCAATAAAACCAATGAAAAGTAAATATTTGGTGACAATTGAGTGCGGTAAATGGAAAAATCCTAAATTTTGAATCTGGCGTCGTTTTGCGTATCAATTCATAAACACTATGCCATGGAATCGGTACGTCAAAAATCTCTTCCCAACTATTTTGCAATCTATATGGGACGGCTGTCAATGAAACTGGTAAACTTTTTTATTTATCACAATTTTCTTTAACCAATTATATCCCCCCCCCCCCCCCCCCCCCCCCCCAATGATGATTAAGAAAAAACAGGTTTTTAGACATTTGTGAGATGTGTTACAAATAAAAAACGGAAATATCACATTTACATAAGTATTCAGACCATTTACTCAGTACTTTGTTGAAGCACCTTTGGCAGCGATTACAGCCTCAAGTCTTTCTTGGGTATGACGCTACAAGCTTGGCACACCTGTATTTGGGGAGTTTCTCCCATTCTTCTCTGCAGATCCGCTCAAGCTCTGTCAGGTTGGTGGGGAGCGTCGCTGCACAGCTCATTTCAGGTCTCTCCAGAGATGTTCGATCGGATTCAAGTCAGGGCTCAACTGCTGCATTGTCTTGACTGTGTGCTTGGGGTCATTGTCCTGTTGGAAGGTGAATCTTCGCCCCAGTCTGAGGTCCTGAGTGCTCTGGAGCAAGTATTTTTATTTTTTATTTTATTTCACCTTTATTTAACCAGGTAAGCCAGTTGAGAACAAGTTCTCATTTACAACTGCGACCTGGCCAAGATAAAGCAAAGCAGTGTGATAAAGACAACAACACAGAGTTACATATGGGGTAAAACAAAACATAAAGTTAAAAAAAATTCAACAGAAAATATATATACAGTGTGTGCAAATGTAGCACGTTTTGGAGGTAAGGCAATAAATAGGACATTGCAAAAATAATTACAATTAGTATTAACACTGGAATGATAGATGTGCAAGAGATGATGTGCAAATAGAGATACTGGGTTGCAAATGAGCAAAATAAATAACATTATGGGGATGAGGTAGTTGGGTGGGCTAATTTCAGATGGGCTGTGTACAGGTGCAGTGATCGGTAAGGTGCTCTGACAACTGATGCTTAAAGTTAGTGAGGGAGATAAGTGTCTCCAGCTTCAGAGATTTTTGCAGTTCGTTCCAGTCATTGGCAGCAGAGAACTGGAAGGAATGGCGGCCAAAGGAGGTGTTGGCTTTGGGGATGACCAGTGAGATTTACCTGCTGGAGCGCATACTACGGGTGGGTGTTGCTATGGTGACCAATGAGCTAAGATAAGGCGGGGATTTGCCTAGCAGAGATTTATAATGGCCTGGAGCCAGTGGGTTTGGCGACGAATATGTAGTGAGGACCAGCCAAGAAGAGCGTACAGGTCATAGTGATGGGTAGTATATGGGGCTTTGGTGACAAAACGGATGGCACTGTGATAGACTACATCCAATTTGCTGAGTAGAGTGTTGGAGGCTATTTTGTAAATGACATCGCCGAAGTCAAGGATCAGTAGGATAGTCAGTTTTACGAGGGCATGTTTGGCAGCATGAGTGAAGGAGGCTTTGTTGCGAAATTCTAGATTCTAGATTTAACTTTGGATTGGAGATGCTTAATGTGAGTCTGGAATGAGAGTTTACAGTCTAACCAGACACCTAGGTATTTGTAGTTGTCCACATACTCTAGGTCAGACCCGTCGAGAGTAGTGATTCTAGTCGGGTGGGCGGGTGCCAGCAGTGTTCGATTGAAGAGCATGCATTTAGTTTTACTTGTGTTTAAGAGCAGTTGGAGGCTACGGAAGGAGTGTTGTATGGCATTGAAGCTCATTTGGAGGTTTGTTAACACAGTGTCCAATGAAGGGCCAGATGTATACAAAATGGTGTCGTCTGCGTAGAGGTGGATCTGAGAATCACCAGCAGCAAGAGCGACATCATTGATATACACAGAGAAAAGAGTCGGAGTCTGAAAAACATCCCCAATGAATGATGCTGCCTCCACCATGCTTCACTGTAGGGATGGTATTGGCCAGGTGATGAGCGGTGCCAGGTTTCCTCCAGTAGTGACACTTGGCATTCATGCCAAAGAGTTCCATCTTGGTTTCATCAGACCAGAGAATCTTGTTTCTCATGGTCTGAGAGTCCTTTAGGTGCCTTTTGGCAAACTCCAAGTGGGCTGGCATGTGCCTTTTACTGAGGAGTGGCTTCCGTCTAGCCACTCTACCATAAAGGCCTGATTGGTGGAGTGCTGCAGAGATGGTTGTCCTTCTGGAAGGTACTCACATCTCCACAGAGGAACTCCAACCCTTCTGCCCCGATTGCTCAGTTTGGCCGGGCGGCCAGCTCTAGGTCTTGGTGGTTCCAAACTTCTTCCATTTAAGAATGATGGAAGCCACTGTGTTCTTGGGGACCTTCAATACTGAAGAAATTGTTTGGTACCCTTCCCCAGATCTGTGCCTCGACACAATCCTGTCTCGGAGCTCAACGGACAATTCCTTATACCTCAAAGGGTCTGAATACTTATGTAAATATGGTATTTCTGTTTTTTATTTTTAATACATTTGCAAACATTTCTAAAAACCTGTTTTTGCTTCATCATAATGGGGTATTGTGTGTAGATTGATGATGATAAATCATGTATTTAATCAATTTTAGAATAAGTCTAATAAGTCTAATAAGAAAAAGTGACAGGGTTTGAATACTTTCCGAATGCACTGTAGGTCTTATAGCTCTTATAAATGTATAAATTACAATGCATGGAGATTGGTTTCATTTCTATCGGGAAAATGTAAAGTCAATGTTTTTTCACTTGGAACTGACAGGTTGCTCGACCTTATTCATGTTTTCCTCATGCGTAAAGCTGGTGGAATTATGAAGGTCAGAATACGGCGGATCTGTAGACACGCCTTCATTTATTTGATCTCCACCCCAAACGAATGGCTGGTGAATAGTATGCTATTCTCATGTTTAATTTCAAGGTCAGAATACGTGTAGAGAGAAAAGTGCTTAAAAAGGGAATTACGTTCCAAAATTACGCATGCTTAACTCGAGTCAGAATTTCCCCCCAAATGGATCAAAAAGTATTTACCGGTATAGGCAGTAGTGGACAATGTTCAATTTGTTGGCCAAATTATTAATCAGGACGTCTTTATTTGATATGGAATGAACCCTAACATACCTAGAATGAGGTGAAAACTAGGAGATACAAGATCAAGCTAATGCCTTTTTTAGCTGAAGTTGTCGCTTATTATACTCGCACTTACCCTCTAGGTAATTTTAAGAAATATTTGACAACTTAAGTGGATATGAGAAGTTGTATCTTGCAGGTAAGTTAATGTGAAATATTCATGAGAAGACATCTTTTATCCAACAGATGTCTCATGGTGTCTTGTAGGAAAACAGCACTTTTTTATTCACAACAAGAGAACAGGATACATACTGAATTGATAGTGAATAGGATAATGAATTGATTATACACATATTACATACTCCACCTCCCGGCCCCACCCCACTTGAGAAATTATTAAGGAATGCACAACCTATTATAGATAATAACCGTTTATGAATTTATAACTTTCATTTGTATATGTTTGATACCATTCCATTTGATACTGTTCCATTCATTCCAATTCAAACATTACAATGAGCCTGTCTTCCCAAATTCTGCCTCCACCAATGCATGCATAGGGTTTAAATCAGGGGGAAAGAGTTCCACCACTTAGGGTTGTGACATAGTATACAGTAGGCATTCAATAGATGTACTTATTTTTTAACTCCCATGGAAAAGCAATTGCTTGTGGGGTCACTTCCACCATGTACAACATCCAAATGCACACTCCACAGCCCTATATCGCCTATACACATACTGCATCTTCACATATACAGAAGACCACATTCAAGCACATCAGCCAAAACAGTTGTATCTCTCTCTCTGTATTGGTAAGGAGACTGCCAAGACAACATTATGTTAACCTCAGAACAGCTTTATTAAGCTTCTTTCTCAATTCACCTTTCCCCGCATCCTCTGTCCTCGCCTCCTTCTCAAAATCCATTGGAGAAGTTGGTCAGAGGGGAGGTACCTTGGAACTACAATACAGAAGGAGACGAGGAGATAGGATGTGAGGAATCACAAAAATACAAATTGAGAAAGAACTTAAGAAACCATATATGTTACAAACAAAACATTATGGGTATTGTAGTATGTCATGCAACACTCTCTCTCTCTTCCAGTCCAAAGAACTCCAGGTCAAGCGTCAGTTCCAGGACACGTGCAAGATCCAGACGCGACAGTACAAGGCCCTGCGCAACCACCTGCTGGAGAACACGCCCAAGTCGGACCACAAGGCAGTGCTCAAGCGCCTGAAGGATGAGCAGACGCGTAAGCTGGCCATCCTGGCCGAGCAGTACGACCACTCCATCAATGACATGCTGTCCACACAGGCTGTGAGTAAGGCAAGGAGACATCATTCACACTTTGCACCGCACCACCTCCAACCCACCGTAGCACCTTACCCACCCCTGCCTTGGCATGTGAGGGCATGCGAGCCAGCTGCCTGCACTCCTGGCTGTCCCTTGACTTGACACCCTCACACCACTTTCTTCGACCTCACTTACAGTGCATTCGGAAAGTATTCAGACCCCTTGACTTTTTCTCTAAAATGGATTAATGTGTGTTGGCGAATTACAGGTGGATATCCTTGATCTAGAAAATGTGGTAAAGATCTACACTGAAACAAATAATGCTTTGTAAATTATAGACATTTTATCATAGGACTGGATGGTTTCAAATACTAATGTTAATTAGCTAGCTAGCTAGTTATTCTACTCATCAAGGCCTTTTAAAATAGGAAGTCAACTTGGCTGTTTACAGCTAGCATTAGACAACTAGCTAAGAATAGTAGCTAAGACTTGAATGTCTCTCTGTTTGATAACATTAACTAACTAGGTCAAAGCAATGTATAGCCAGATATTTCTGGCATAGTCGTAAATAGCTAGCTAGCTAAATAACGGGCTAGGCAGCTAACGTTATAACTTTTAGGACCTAGATATTTTTGTTGACAGGAAAAACGATTATTAGTAATGTCAGCTAACAGGATAGCCTCTTCACCCTGGGAGACCTGTAAGTTACACATCATTGGTGTATCCAATGTGTACTGGGAGTGAAGAGGCTACTAGCAGGAGGAATTAAACGCTAACTAGCAAGCCTGTAGCTAGTTAACAGTGTTGCATTACCGAATGTTCAAGTCTGTAGCTAGCTGGCCAAGTAGCGACCTTTGGCTAGTTTGGTTGTCTGTGACCTAACGTTAGCTAACTAGATAGTTAGATAATTTGCTAGCAAAGGTAGTGTCTGTTAATATCTGCAATACAATGGTACCATTCGCTAACTTAACTAGCTAACATTGCCTAGCTAGCTACAACGTTAACGTAGATTAAAAAGGGAATACAATGATTTATTTGGTTACAATGACTGAAAGCTCTATCAAACTAGCTAGCTGTATACACTAAATATACAAAAGTATATGGACACCCCTTCAAATTAGTGGATTTGGCTATTTCAGCCACACCCATTGCTGACAGGTGTATAAAATCGAGCACACCACCATGCAATCTCCATACACAAACATTGGCAGTAGAATGGCCTTACTGAAGAGCTCAGTGACTTTCAACGTGGCACCATCATAGGATGCCACCTTTCCAACAAGTCAGTTCTTCAAATTTGTACCCTGCTAGAGCTGCCCCAGTCAACTGTAAGTGCTGTTATTGTGAAGTGGAAACATCTAGGAGCAACAACGGCTCAGCCGTGAAGTGGTAGGCCACCCAAGCTCATAGAACGGGAGCGTAGAGCATAGAAATCGCCTGTCCTCGGTTGCAACACTCACTACCGAGTTCCAAACTGCCTCTGGAAGCAACGTCAGCACAATAACTGTTCGTCGGGAGCTTCATGAAATGGGTTTCCATGGCCGAGCAGCCGCACACAAGCCTAAGATTACCATCCGCAAAGCCAAGAGTCAGCTGGAGTGGTGTAAAGCTCGCCACCATTGGACTGGATCAGTGGAAACGCTTTCTCTGGAGTGATGAATCACGCTTCACCACCTTGCAGTCCAACGGACGAATCTGGGTTTGGCGAATGCAAGGAGAACGCTACCTGCCCGAATGCATAGTGTCAATTTTAAAGTTTGGTGGAGGAGGAATAATGGTCTGGGGCTGTTTTTCATTGTTCAGGCTAGGCCCCTTAGTTCCAGTGAAGGGAAATCTTAATGCTACAGCATACAATGACATTCTACACGATTCTGTGCTTCCAACTTTGTGGCAACAGTTTGGGGAAGGCCCTTTAATATTTCAGCATGACAATGCCACCGTGCACAAAGCGAGGTCCATACAGAAATGGTTTGTCGAGATCGGTGTGGAAGAACTTGACTGGCCTGCACAGAGCCCTGACCTCAACCCGATCGAATACCTTTGGGATGAATAGGAACGCAGACTGCGAGCCAGGCCTAATCGCCCAATATCAGTGCCCGACCTCACTAATGCTTGTGGCTGAATGGAAGCAAGTCCCTGCAGCAATGTTCCAACATCTAGTGAAAAGCCTTCCCAGAAGAGGGGAGGCTGTTATAGCAGCGAAGGGAGGACCAACTCAATATTAATGCTCATGATTTTGGAATGAGATGTTCGACGAGCAGGTGTCCACATACATCTTATGGGGGGGATAGTTATATCTTATGAAATAGTTAGCTAGGTAGCTATCAATGTTCAGCTAGCTAGGTGGCTAGCTAGTACCACTATGTTCGATGTTTAACATTGTTAGCTAGCTAGACACAAACAGAACGATGCATAGAATGATCTGCACAAAAAGGCAACCAAACAAGATCTATATGCTAACTACAAACCCCTTTGGTCTGTTTTAACTAACATTAGCTATCTAGCAAGCTAACGTCACTGCCCAGAGACAGTTTCAATAAACAAAGCGTCAACTATTACCTTAACATAATAGCTAGTTAGTAGTGATGTTATGTTTGATACCGGAGCTCCGAGGCATGCGTCGAAATCACTAAGCAGCTAACTTTGAAGCAGTGTGCCTTCTTCTTCGTTTGGCTTTCGGGCAGACTAGATGCTGTGTTGTGTATCGCTGCCTTTTGCAGGTCGCAGTGCGGATTGCACATTTTGGTAACCAAAAACAATGGAAAACAGGAATGGGAAAAACTTTAATTGCACCACCATCTAACCCTGTACCTATACACTATCCCCAAAAACCCACCACCCCATCCCACTACTTGGCCCTAAACGATTCTACACCAGGCCCTTGGCCTGGGAGGATGGAACCCCCTCTCTCAAAACTTCCTCTAGATCTTCTGCACTAAAATCTCTCACACCCAAATATTTGTCTTCTGCTGCAACTACCACATCTATCTTCTGTGATTTCCACTCCATCAGTGCAGTGCAGTTAATCACCATGGCTATAAATGCAAGAAATCTAACCTTGCAATAAATCTCATCCTCTCTGGCTCTCTCTCTTCAGGCCTACTCACTGGGGGCCTCCCAGTCTTCTCACTCACCGTTGGGCTATCCTACACTCTTCACTGCCTCAGCATAGGAAACGTTCTGCCCCACTTGAACTCTGGCAATCCCAACCTGTCTCTCTCTCACAGGGCACTTCGGACCCGAGCTGCATGGACACCCCCAGATTTGACACACAATGCTTTCTCTATTCCAACTGTACACTCCCTCTAACTATGCCCTCCTGCACATTTCTCACATCATGGGATCTCCCTTCTACCCACTGCTGCGTGTCCGAATCCTTGGCACCTAAAGCACTGAAGTGGGTTCGGAACATAGGCCCTCACAGAATAGCAAATATAACCTAACCTGACCTTATCAGGTAGAAACTCTGTGTCAAAGCTCAACAAGACAGACGGGTTATTCTCAGTCTCACCATACGACGAGAATCACAGACTACACTCAACTCTACCCCACTGATCACCCTTTTTAGCGGCGCCCTGCTCCGGAGAGCAAAGAACACTACACGTTGAGCTCCAAGCTACGTGACTCGAAGCGCCCGCTTCCTCTGGGAGGTGGATACACACACAATCTAAACAATTCCACTTCTCGAAATGCCGCCGCCTACTGTAATGGAGTGTGTAGTCAATCAAAGCTTACAGACTAAATGAATAAAGAAACCAACATTAAGAAAAACAAAACCCTCCTACCTAATCCTGTTCTACTAAGAAAAAGAAAAAAAAGAGCCCTACTGACTTCTAACAAACCCTCACCCATCCCCCATCTTGTTCACGGACAAGCTAAACACCTTCTTCGCCCGCTTTGAGGATAACACAGTGCCACCGACGCGGCCCGCTCCCAAGGACTGTGGGCTCTTGTTCTCCGTGGCCGACGTGAGAAAGACATTTAAGCGTATTAACCCTCGCAAGGCTGCCGGCCCAGACGGCATCCCTAGCCGCGTCCTCAGAGCATGTGCAGACCAGCTGGCTGGAGTGTTTATGGACATAGTCAATCTCTCCCTATCCCAGTCTGCTGTCCCCACTTGCTTCAAGATGTCAACCATTGTTCCTGTACCCAAGAAAGCAAAGGTAACTGAACTAAGTTACTATCGCCCCGTAGCACTCACCTCTGTCATCATGAAGTGCTTTGAGAGGCTAATTAAGGATCATATCACCTCCACCTTACCTGACTCCCTAGACCCACTTCAATTTGCTTACCGCCCCAATAGATCCACAGACGATGCAATCGCCATCGCACTGCACACTGCCCTATGCCATCTGGACAAGAGGAATACCTACGTCAGAATGCTGTTCATTGACTATAGCTCAGGCTTCAACACCATAGTACCCTCCAAGCTCATCATTAAGCTCGGGTCCGAACACCGCCCTGTGCAACTGGGTCCTGGACTTCCTGACAGGCCGCCCCCAGGTGGTGAAGGTCGGAAACAACACCTCCACTTCGCTGATCCTCAACACAGGGGTCCCACAAGGGTGCGTGCGCAGCCCCCTCCTGTACTCCCTGTTCACCCATGACTGCGTGGCCACACACGCCTCCAAATCAATCATCAGGTTTGCAGACGACATAACAGTAGTAGGCTTGATTACCAACAACGACGAGACAGCCTACAGGCGGAGGTGAGGGCCCTGGCGGAGTGGTGCCAGGAAAATAACCTCTCCCTCAGGTGGAAAGCTTCAAGTTCCTCAGCATACACATCACTGACAATCTGAAATGGTCCACCCACACAGACAGTGTGGTGAAGAAGGCACAACAGCACCTCTTCAACCTCAGGAGGCTGAAGAAATTTGGCTTGGCCCCTAAGACGCTCAGAAACTTTTACAGATGCACAATTGAGAGCATCCTGTCAGGCTGTATCACCGCCTGGTATGGCAACTGCACCGCCCGCAACCGCAGGGCTCTCCAGAGGGTGGTGCGGTCTGCCCAACGCGTCACCGCGGGAACACTGCCTGCCCTCCAAGACACCTACAGCAACCGATGTCACAGGAAGGCCAAAAAGATCATCAAGGACATCAACCACCCGAGCCATGGCCTGTTCACCCCGCTATCATCCAGAAGGAGAGGTCAGTACAGGTGCATCAAAGCTGGGACCGAGAGACTGAAAAACAGCTTCTATCTCAAGGCCATCAGACTGTTAAATAGCCATCACTAGCCGGCTACCACCCAGTCACTCAACCCTGCACCTTAGAGGCTGCTGCCCTATATACATAGACATGGAATCACTGGCCACTTTAATAATGGGACACTAGTCACTTTAATAATGTTTACATACTGCTTTACTCATTTCATATGTATATACTGTATTCTATTCTACTGTATTTTTGTCAATGCCACTCTGACATTGCTCGTGCTAATATTTATATATTTCTTAATTCCATTAATTTACTTTTAGATTTGTGTGTATTGTTGTGAATTGTTAGATACTACTGCACTGTTGGAGCTTGGAACACAAGCATTTCGCTACACCCGCAATAACATCTGCTAAATATGTGTAGATGACCAATAAAATTTGATTTTATTTGATTTTTGATTTGCTTGCCAACCAGATGTAATGATGAGCAAACACCACCTCTTCCTTCCTAATCTGACCTTTGAATCTTGGTCCACCGACCTTTCTTTGGAGGGCATATAAATGCCGTCCCTTGGGCTCGCTTTCCCACCTCTTCTGCCACACATACAGTATATCATAATGGCTCTAACCTTACATTTGTATCGAACTTGACTGTGTATCAGGGTTCCCCAAATGTATGCATTTTTAAATCATTATATAGTTCATAAACTAGTTATGTAATTGTAAGATCTTTTTACAGTTGGGCTATTGTCTGTAACTTAAACTGTTAAGGAGCTGTACCATTTTGAAAAACAATCACTTTAGGCAGCCATTGATAGCAATGTTGTTTCCTGTCATTTTAAATAGTTATAGTGCAATAATAATGTTTGGTGACATGATATGTGCTATTATCAGACCTTCCAGGAAAAAACCCTGTATTATTTATTTTTTTAACTACGTTTTAAGTGAAATATTAGCTTTTGTCTGAAGCCTAAAAAGACAGGAAATTCAAAAGATAATTTGTCCTATGCACTAACAATGCTTTTCAGCATAAGCAGCTTGACTACTGCTAGAGTACTGTAGCTTTATTGTTGTACTGTACTTCAACAACAGATGTACTCACATTGGATGGGTTGATTAGGATTCAAACCTCCTCTCAAACAGCCTAATACATACTCTTAGAGTAGGTTTACTCCATTAATGTACTTGGTAATGTAAGAAAGACATCATCCCATTTCACTCATTTAAACATTATGGGGAGGTTTTCCCGGACACAGATTAAGCCTAGCCCTGGACTAAAAAGCAAGATCAATGGAAAATATATTTGTATTCTATTTATACACTACATGACCAAAAGTATGTGGAAACCTGATCGTCGAACATCTCATTCCAAAATCACGGGCATTAATATGGAGTTGGTCCCTCCTTTGCTGCTATAACAGCCTCCACTCCTCTGGGAAGGCTTTCCACTAGATGTTGGAACATTGTTGTGGGGACTTGCTTCCATTCAGCCACGAGCGTTACTGAGGTCGGGCACTGATGTTAGGCAATTAGGCCTGGCTTGCAGTCAGCTTTCCAATTCATCCCAAAGGTGTTCGATGGGGTTGAGGTCAGGGCTCTGTGCAGGTCAGTCAAGTTTTTCCACACCAATCTCGATAAACCATTTCTATATGGACCTCGCTTTGTGCACGGGGGCATTGTCATGCTGAAAGAGGAAAGGGCCTTCCCCAAACTGTTGCCACGAAGTTGGAAGCACAGAATCGTCTAGAATGTCATTGTATGCTGTAGCGTTAAGATTTTCCTTCCCTGGAACTAAGCGTCCTAGCCCGAACCATTATTCCTACTCCATCAAACTTTACAATTGGCACTATGCATTCGGGCAGGCAGCATTCTCCTGGCATCCGCCAAACCCAGATTCGTCCGTCGGACTGCCAGATGGTGAAGCGTGATTCATCACTCCAGAGAACGGGTCTCCACTGCTCCAGAGTCCAATTGCTGCGAGCTTTACACCACTCCAGCTGACGCTTGGCTTTGTGCATGGTGATCTTAGGCTTGTGTGCGGCTGCTCGGCCATGAAAATCCATTTCATGAAGCACCTGGCAAACAGTTATTGTGCTGACGTTGCTTCCAGAGGCAGTTTGGAACTCGGTAGTGAGTGTTGCAACCGAGGACAGACGATTTTGCTTCAGCACTCGGCGGTCCTGTTCTGTGAGCTTGTGTGGCCTACCACTTCGTTGCCAAGCCGTTGTTGCTCCTAGACGTTTCCACTTCACAATAACAGCACTTACAGTTGACCGGGGCAGCTCTAAATTTGACGAACTGACTTGTTGGAAAGGTAGCATCCTATGACGGTCCCAAGTCACTGAGCTCTTCAGTAAGGCCATTCTACTGCCAATGTTTGTCTATGGAGATTGCATGGCTGTGTGCTGGATTTTATACACCTGTCAGCAACGGGTGTGGCTGAAATAGCCAAATTCACTTATTTTAAGGGGTGTCCACATACCTTTGTATATATAGTGTATGTGCAGGTTACACCCCATACACCCCATACCGACTAGTAGGGCACAACGTTGTGGAATATTCAGATATAAATATATGATGGAGAACAAATACTCCTCTCTGACATTCAGAAAAAGGAATCTTGTCACCTCTATTCATGACATTTCTATCTGTAAGGTTCCACAGCGTTGCACCCTCCTGAACAGACCCCGGTTCCGTGCATCTGTTAGGTCCTCATGTAGCACCACCACACGTCCATGGCACTCAAACAAGCCAAACCCCCTTTCTCTGCCCCCACACGTCCTCACATCTGCTGGAAAATTACATAACATGTCTTGTGTCCTCAAATAGCAGATACGCAAGTCACACCTTCCTGTCTGTCCCCACATTCAGTGGCACAGATCTGCCATCTGTCATGTCCTCGTGTAACACCTCACATAGGCCACACACACCCCTGTCCCTATCCTCACCACACTCCTCCACTTGGTAGGCTCGAAGCCAAAGGCCTATTCACAAGCTATACCCAGCGCTATACAGTCTACTGTTTCTATATTATCTCTACTGTATCTCTATCATCAATACCCCAGCATGTATCAAACAAACTATGACACCCTATTCATGTCACACAATACAACACTGTTATTTCCCCATCATACACTCATGGAAAGAAGTCGAGGGCACTCAGCCATCACACACTCAACCACATTCACTCACAAACCACTACCTCGTCAATAATATTTACCCAAAACATGTCACATTTTAATTTAGTAACTAACACACCTTCCTCACACTAAGATAGACATCCCATTCAAATACGCCACATCCCCTGTCCTGACCCTCTGTCTCCCTATACCCTATTCCTAAGTAACTCCCTTTTCCACTTCCTCCACCTATCTTTATACTGACACCCCACCCTATTTGCCACTCTGTCTCCAGCTCCGATTGGATGAGACACAGGAGGCAGAGTACCAGGTGCTGCGGATGCAGCTGCAGCAGGAGTTGGAGCTGCTCAACGCCTACCAGAGCAAGATCAAGATCCACACCGACTCGCAGCATGAGCAGGAGGCCAAGGACCTGGAGCAGAGGGTGTCCATCCGCCGGGCACTGCTGGAGCAGAGAGTAGGTGTAGGGTGAAGTTGCCCCTAGACGCTGATCTGGGGTCAGTTTTGCTTTCCACCCACAAATGGTTAGAGTTAGGAGAGGGGAAACTGGTCCTAGATCTGTACCAAGGGGAAACATCACCCCGGAGCCAGGGGTGGAGAGATACAGCCGGTCCAAAATCGCTCCCTATCCATCCCCTTAACCCTTTCGATGTTAGCGTGTCTGAAGGGTCTGGATAGGTATAACCAGTGTGGTGGAGGAGCTTCCACCATATTGCTTCCACCTTACAGATTTGCAAACATCAAAGGATTAGGGCCAAAAGGAGGGTTAGGGAGCGAATTGGGTCCGACTGAGAGAGTGTGGCTTAATTCCATATCGACCGCCTAGCCCTGGACTTTTGTCTTGGATGTTAAGAGATGTCTTGGATGTTTGTCCAAAATGAAAATCCAAGGTTACATATCTGGCCCATTGAAAATGTAATCCCAAACTCTAACCCCCCTACATCCTAGGCACTCCTGTAGATCTGACCGAATTGGATAATATAATAAATAATAATATGCCATTTAGCAGACGCTTTTATCCAAAGCGACTTACAGTCATGCGTGCATAATTTTTTTTGTGTATGGGTGGTCCCGGGGATCAAACCCACTATCTTGGCGTTACAAGCGCCGTGCTCTACCAGCTGAGCTTGTGGAAGCAATATTACAACCAATCAGAGGCTATTACCAGAATGCTTATACTGTATCTATCCAATCCTCTCAGATCAACAGGAGTGCCTAGGCCGGGTGTTTGAGTTTGGGATTTAAAAAAATGACTTTTTGAATGGGCCAGATGTGTAACCTTGGAGAGATCTCAGAGTGTGTTTGTGTGTGTGTGTTTACTTGTGTGTGTGTTTATGGGTGTTTTCTCACGTTCAACACTTCTGTGCCCCTGTTCCCCCTATTACCCACAGATTGAGGAGGAGATGCTGTTGCTGCAGAACGAGCGTTCAGAGCGCATCCGCACCCTCCTGGAGCGGCAGGCCTGTGAGATCGAGTCCTTCGACTCGGAGAGCCTCCGTCTGGGCTTCAGCAACATGGCCCTCACGGGCATCCCCAGCGAGGCCTACCCCAAGCAGGGCTACCCCAATGCCCCACCAGGGTCCCGCTCTGGCGGGGGCCACTGGAGCGACGGCATGCACCCCCAGATCGCCCAGCCCCAGCCGCACTCGCGCCGCAGCCACAACAGTAGTAGCAGTGGAGGGGGGAGCAGAGGAGATTCTTCTTCTCACGGCATTACTCTGGGGTTGGGTCTGGAGAGGGATGGGAGGGAGGTGCATCATTTGTCTCACTCGTCAGCTTCCTCTTCCTCCTCCTCGTCTTCCTCCCAACAACACCACCACCGCCATCACCTGCCGCAGCACTACCACCACCAGAGCACGCCCCAGCTCTACCGGGAGAGGGATAGAGAGAAGGAGCGGGAGAAGGAGAGGGACAGGGAGTGGGCCGGGGCCCGGGGCGGCGGCGACCTGGCCCACCCGCAGCACCCCCACATCTTCTCCCACCACCTGCCCTCGCGCTCCTCCTCTCAGTCCCTGGCCCTGCTGCCGCCGCCTCCACACACTCCCCCCTTCATCTCGGGGCCCTCCTCCTCGTCCTCCTCGCAGGGAGGGGTGTACGGCGGGGGCGGGGGGCTGGCCGTCAGGGGCGGTCCCAGTCTCATGGCCCTGAGGAACAGCCCCCAGCCGCTGAGGAGGACGGCCTCCGGAGGGGGACCCGGCGGGGCGGGTGGAGGCGACGGGGTGCTGAACCGCAGCACCTCGGTCACCTCGCACATCTCCAACGGCTCTCACCTCTCCTACTCCTAGAGAGAGGGGAGGGGGGAGGCGGTGGAGGGTGGTCACCTGAGAGAGAGAGGGCGGGAGGGGTTTTTCACTGTGACTTGAGAGGGGAGGAAAGACGGGAATGAAGGAATATAGCTACCTGTTTTACCATTGAAGTGGGTGAGGGAAAGTGATGCAGAGTGGGTGGTGGCTGTTTACTATTTTCTCAGGTGAGGCAGGGGGATGGAAGGGGGTGGGAGTTGAGAGTTGCCCTTCAGGCAGAGAAACGTGGAGGTAGCATGTCTTCTTTTTCTATGATGTTCTATGTTGGAATGGAGGAAGAGAGAGAATTGGGAGAAAAGTGGACAGAGAAGAGACGAAGACAACAGACCTGTATGTGTGTGTATGTAGTGTGTGGTGTCCTGATAATCTGGCAAGCACTTGTGTTGTAAGGCTTCAGAAAGGGAAGACATAGAGAACAATACAAATTCTGCTTTTAGTCTACGTTCAGAAAGGTTGCTATTGTTCGAAACACATTTTATTGTTATTTGCTGACATTGTTTTTTTGTTTATTGTGTAGAAGTGTTAAAAAACAACAAGTGGCTCAGAATGTCACCAATGCCTTTGAGAAGTCTTAAAGGGAGGCTTCGATGACTGCGAGAGAATTGCGGCTGATGTAAACTAATATGAATACACAGAATGTTTATAAAGGCAACAAACAGACTTGGTTTCCTTCAAAATAACAAAAGCACCTGGAATGGAGAGAGACATTTGTGAGGACATGTGAAAAAACAAAACAACAAGATAAGCTTTTCCGTCATCCATTACATATTTAGTATCTTTAAAAAGGACATAGGTGTCTGTGGGACACCTCCAATGCATGAGATACATTTACAAAACCTTTGAAAACATGACCAAAACCACATTTGAGTTTCACTGGCATTTAAGATCACTAGCTGTCCCACATTTCTTGACCTTTATTGTAAATATTTATGGGAATATAAAAACAAAAATGACGATGATCATAGTAATTTTGATACATTCAAAGTATTGAACCCAGGATTTAGAGCAAAAAAGCAATAGGTGTGTCAGTCAGTATTACCATTACTAATCCATTATTATTTATATATAGTTGTTGTAATCATGTACACATTTTTCAAAATCTCGCAACAAAAAGGCAATTTTTGACTATGGGAAAGGTTGGAAAGTATTTTTTTTTTATTGTCAGGTATGGTGTGTGTAACAGGTAATAATGATTATTAATAATATACAGTCTAGTTATATTGCCACTTTTGTAAACAAACATATATAACTTTAAAAACACTTGTGTGAACCTTATAAAAGGTCTGACCCAACTAAAAAAGGAACGTGACATATCCAAAAGAAGCAACATTGGTTCACATGAACATGATTCATCTTTCTGGATTGCATTGTCATCTTGAAAATAACACTATTGTTCATGTTTATTTGTTGGATTTTGAAATGAAAACGTTGGGTGAATTTTCTAGGGATTTCAAGATGATGCTTTCTGCTACTGAGCCCTCACATACTCTAGCATGAAGAATAAAATGTAGTTCAAAGATAAAGTATAGTGCACAATCTTAGATGATAATCTCACAGTGCACACCATCATTGCAAGGTGCGAGCCACTTGTCAGGGCATTTGTGCTGCAACTTTAATTACACATTTCTCGACAGACTCACTAATATATCAAGACAACGGTTTTGAATATTAGGGATCAATGAAAGAAAGCCATCAAAATATATATTTTTCTTGGTTTGGTTTGATAAAAAAGTAGTCTGATCTTGTAGATTATTGTTTCGCAAACTATGATGACAACGGTCCAGTCATGGTGAACCGTGCTCCAGGCTCCAGGTTTAAAGTGCCGTGTTTGGTCTGTGTTCCATAATGATTCATATAGGCTACATGTCCCAAATTATTGCACAACTTGTAATTCAATATTATCTGCTATTGCTAGCGACCCTCAGCAACAAACACACGGACATGACAGAGAAAGAAAGGGAAACTAACACTGTAATGGAGTGATGCCAAATGTAGGCTACAAATTGAAGGGAACTAACACCTAAATATTCTAAAGGGGGCACAAAGTACGTGAGGATGGCTGGGGCGTGGTCCGTAGGGGACTAGGTCCCTTTTTTTTTTTTATGGAGAAATCTTATTTTTTAAATCACATGAAACAGCTTTTTCCTTGCAACCTAGAGCCATAATCATTATGCTCATTCTATAAAAAAAATTATAAAAAAAAGTATATATTTTTTTCTGCATGATTAAGCATACCTATTGAGCTGTCTGTATCCTCCTGACTGGTGTTTTTTTTTTTTTTAAGAAACGAAATATGCTTCTCTGCATCTTCGCTCAATTCTGGGCAAAAGATTGAAATGAATGTGGGTCTTATTCAGTACATTTAGTTATTGCTTGCTTTTCTATAGTCTACCAACCTAAGATAGTTAGACAAGCTAGCTACTCTAACTTGATTGATAGCCTGAAATGGCTTCTTGGTAGCTAGTTATGAGGTTGGGAGCTTGGGAACCTATCTGGGCTAGCTAAAGCCAACTTTATTAAATTGCTAAGTGGCTAGTAGTATTACAGATAATTTTTTTAAACATTTTAATTTTTTTAAAACGTTGTAAAAAAACAGAACAAATCTGAGGGGGCACGTGCCCTTGTGCCCCCTATGTGTGGGTATTACTGACAGTGGCAACCAATAGTGGGTACTATTTAACATAATACAAATTGTCTGGGCAGAGAAAAGTCTGGGCTGAAATTAAAACATGGTAGAACTCACAAAGGTTACATTTTGCCTGACTGTCACTCTGCATGGATTTGGCTTGCGTCTCCAACATCTCTGCAAGTTATAAGGCCATACAATTAAAATTCTGCATAATGGCACAGCATTTCAATATAATTCACTGTGTGAAAGGGGCACACATAGGCTACTTTCATGTTGATATGCTTCAGTTTGCTGCCATATGACTGGTTTCACATTTGTCTCCAGCGATCATAAGGTAAAATAGATCTAAAACAATTGCCATTTATATTTACAATCCCCTCATCCAAATGGATTACTCATTTACCTATCTTTTATCAATAGCTCTTATCAATTGATAAATTACAGTGCATGGAGAATGGTGTTATTTCTATCGGGAAAAAAACAATTAAATGTTTTTCCACTTGGAACCAACAGGTTGCTCGACATGATTCATTGTTTATTCACGTGTAAAGGTGGTGGAATTATCTGGGGAATCAAGTCAAGGTTAGAATAAGGCTTTAGACACACCTCCGCCACACCTCCATTCTTTGATCTCCACCCCAAATGCATACCTTGCTGGCACTGGCTTTTCCCCATGTGTGAGTTCAGGGTCCGAATATTCAGAGAGAAAAGTGTATAGAAAGGGAATAAAGTTCCATTTACGTGCATTTAACTCGGGTCTGAATTCCCCCTAGTGAATATGACCCATGGCTGGCCACTCAGCAGGTTCCAGACAATAAAGTTATTTAATGAGACAAATCAGAATTTCATGTGAGTATAGTCACGTTTGAGGTTTAAGGGGGACATTCAGTATTTTAAAGACATTTTAAAACTGAACCATGGATTACAGTTTCTCCTTGCCCATAGACTACTTTCAGGGTAAGGAACCATCTAAGATTAAGTTATAAAATACTTAACTTCCTGTTTTTTTAAAGGTGTTTGCCTCGTTCAGTTAGGTAAGACCGTTTAAATCCAGTGGCGACCCGTTATTCAGGGCAGTTGGGGCAGAGCCCCACCAGTTTTGAGCCCCACCTGTTTAGCAAAAAATACATGTATATACAGTTGAAGTCAGAAGTTTACATACACCTTAGCCAAATACATTTAAACTCAGTTTTTCACAATTCCTGACATTTAATCCTAGTAAAAATTCCCTGTCTTAGGTCAGTTAGGATCACCACTTTATTTTAAGAATGTGAAATGTCAAAATAATAGTAGAGAGTGATTTATTTCAGCTTTTATTTATTTCATCACATTCCCAGTGGGTCAGAGGTTTACATACACTCAATTAGTATTTGGTAGCATTGCCTTTAAATTGTTTAACTTGGGTAGAACGTTTCAGGTAGCCTTCCACAAGCTTCCCACAATAGGTTGGGTGAATTTTGGCCCATTCCTCTTGACAGAGATGGTGTAACTGAGTCAGGTTTGTAGGCCTCCTTGCTCGCACACGCTTTTTCAGTTCTGCCCACAAATGTTCTATAGGATTGAGGTCAGGGCTTTGTGATGGCCACTCCAATACCTTGACTTTGTTGTCCTTAAGCCATTTTGCCACAACTTTGGAAGTATGCTTGTGGTCATTGTCCATTTGGAAGACCCATTTGCGACCAAGCTTTAACTTCCTGACTGATGTCTTGAGATGTTGCTTCAATATATCCACATAATTTTCCTTCCTCATGATGCCATCTATTTTGTGAAGTGCACCAGTCCCTCCTGCAGGAAAGCACCCCCACAGCATGATGCTGCCACCCCCGTGCTTCACGGTTGGGATGGTGTTCTTCGACTTGCAAGCAACCCCCTTTTCCTCCAAACATAATGATGGTCATTATGGCCAAACAGTTCTATCTTTCATCAGACCAGAGGACATTTCTCCAAAAAGTACGATCTTTGTCCCCATGTGCAGTTGCAAACCGTAGTCTGTCTTTTTTATGGCGGTTTTGGAGCAGTGGCTTCTTCCTTGCTGAGTGGCCTTTCAGGTTATGTCGATATAGGATTAGTTTTACTGTGGCTATAGATACATTTGTACCTGTTTCCTCCAGAATCTTCACAAGGTCCTTTGCTGTTGTTCTGGGATAGATTTTCACTTTTCCCACCAAAGTACGTTCATCTCTAGGAGACAGAACGCGTCTCCTTCCTGAGCGGTATGACGGCTGCGTGGTCCCATGGCTGGCCACTCAGCAGGTTCCAGACAATAAAGTTAATTAATGAGACAAATCAGAATTTCATGTGAGTATAGTCACGTTTGAGGCTTAAGGGGAACGTTCAGTATTTTAAAGACATT